TTATATTTGGCCAAGAGCTGATGACTCTGCATCAGTTTGTTTCAGTTTTTCTATGCCTCACTCCATCCCTCCAAGTATCCTTCCTTATGTTGTAGAAGACATGAGATTCATTCTTACACCATTAAATGATGAGATGCTTCAAATCCCAGTGCTCCCTCTTTCTCCAATGCAGGTCTAAGGACAAAATTTAGGGACACTCTAAAATTTACATGTCAGCAGCTCTTATTTGGAGATACTGGGTTCCCCATTAGAAATGTCCCTGAGGCTAGGTTGCCCCATCTGAAACTGGAAATAGGAATTCATGAAAGAAGCCTTACTTCTCCCAAATAAGCTAATCTCTGACTCAGCCAGTTTCTAGGACACACAGTTGGCCAACAGCTGAGGATTTCAGACATGTTATTTTCCCTACTGATAAATCTATTCTTTGATAATGTCGACACATTTCTAATATATTTTGTTTGGACATTACCTTCATTTCCAAATATATCCTTACTCATATTTTCACTAGTTAGAGAGGCAGACATTTTATCAGAAAAATGAAAAAAATGTATTAAATGCATTTCCAAATAAAATAAGCTATATATGAGCTGTGATTGACATTTCCAGAAACGTTCCATACTCAGTGTCTTGGATAGCCAAAGCAGGGCCATTTTTCCCAATGATTACCTTATTTTTTTCTATCATAATGTCAAAAATGTTTCTAATATCCTTTGTTTTTTGGCATTTTGACAATGTTGACAAATTTCTAGACATTTCTGACATTTTATATGGCTATCTCCTTCATTTCCATTCTTTCATTAGCTAGGGAGGTACACCTTGCATCAAAAGATGAAAAAGGAAATGTATTAAATGCACTTCAAAAAATCAACATAAGGGGCAGCTAGGTGGCGCAGTGGATAGAGTACCAGCCCTGGATTCAGGAGGACCTGAGTTCAAATCTGGCCTCAGACACATAACACTTACTAGCTGTGTGACCCTGGGCAAGTCACTTAACCCCATTGCCTAACCAGAAAAAAAAATCTACATAAGATATGACTGACAGTTTTCAAAATATTCCACACCCACTGGCTCAAATCTACATAGGCATCCAGACCACCAGCAATTTACCCGTTAATGTCCTTTACACAATTTATTTACACCAGAATGTAAAAAAATACATCTAATATTATTTCTTTTGTCATCAGCTACATTTACACACACATACACACATATAGATAGATATAGATATATACCTGCTCTTCCTTCACTAATTCGAGCAGCAGACCTTGAAACAAAGAAACAAAAAAGAAATTCATGAAATTCTCATTAAAAAAAAGTTACCTACACATAACTGTTACTGACAGTCTCAGAAATATTCCACATCCAGTGTGCCAGAGCTCTATAGACAACCAAAGCAGGAATATTTTACTTCCTGATGCCCTGTTTTGTTATAGCAGAATGTCAACAATACTTGTATCCATTCTTTTGGCATTGCCTTCATTTATAAACATATCCTTTACCGTCACATTCCCAGAGAGCTAACTTTTCTTTCAAAGAATGAAACTACAAATGCAAGAAGGACACTTCAATCCTATGTACTTCTATCAAAGTTTTGTCTTAGCATTTTGGCAATATTTGACAAGCAATGTCCCACCCATCCTTACGCAACGAAAGCAATCACAATTCTTCTCTCAAACCTCCTTTCGGAAAAGATCATTGCTCATGATAGTGGTTATAGCATTTCATTTCACCTTTCAGTGCTTTCCCTTATTATGTTTGAAGTCATTTTATATAATGTTTTTCTACTTGGTTAGTATTCCTCTTCATCAGTTGGTTTCAGTTTCTCTTGATTTGCTCCAAAGCATTTTTTCTTATTTTTCAGAAGTCATATGTTTCATTCAGGTACTACAGAATGAAGCAGAAGACATGGGATTCATTCATATATCATCAGATTATGAGACACCTTCAAATCCAAGTGCTTCTAACGCTCTTTATCCAGTGCAGGGCTGAGGACAAAACCCTTTGACCAGAGCTCATGTATGGAGATAATGAATTCCTCATTTCAAAACACCCTGAGGCAGGGCTGCCGTGGCTGTACCTCGGAAGAACAAAAGTAGCCTCATTTCTGCAGAACAAGCTAAACTCTGACAAAGTTGACTTCTAGCACTTATACTTGGTCAACAGTTGAGGATTAGGGACATGTCATTTTCCCTACAGATGAACCTGTTACTTTATATCATAATGTCCAAATATTTCTAACATATTTTGTTTGGCTATCATTTCCATATATAGGTATATATGATATATCCCTCCCCATTTTTCCAGTAGCCAGAGACTCAGACTTTGTGTCAAAAGATAAGAAATATATTATATGCAATTCAAGTAACTCATTGAAACATAAATAGTGATTGGAAATTTCAGAATTATTTTACACTCAATGTCCCAGAGCTCTACAGACCGCCAAAGAAGCTGCATTTTACCCAACAATTACCTTAGTTCTTTTTACCAAAATTTCAGAAATACTTTTAATATCCTTTGTTTTGACATCACCTTCATTTACCACTATGACCTCTGTCACGCCATAACTAGGGAACCCATTTTTATATCAAACAATGACACTAGAAATGCAAAACACCCCACTTTAACCAAATGCACCCTCACCTAAGCTTTGTCTGATCAGTTAGGCGATATTCTACCTCCAATATTTTTCTATTTTGTAACCAACCAAAGGAGGTGAATTCCTTCTCTCAACTCTCCTTCAGATAAGATCCTTGCTCATTAGAGTTATATTGCATTTCCTTGTACCTATTAGTTTTTTCTCTTCATATTTTTGAAGTCACTTTATACAATCTTTTCCTCTCTTGCTGAGCATCTCTCTGAATCAGTTTGTTTCAGTCTTCCTGTGCTACGCTTCATTTTTCCAATTATCCTTTCTGACATTGCTGTAATCTTTACTTTTATTCTTTAGTGTAATATGTTGAGCTAATCTTTGATTGAATGTTCCTCAGCCTTGCTTCTCCAGAGAAGCCCCATGAATAGAAATTAAACATTATCCCAAATCCTTGTGACCATAGTACCCATGTGGATATAATGACTTCACCATTGAAAATGGCCCTTGAAAAGGTCTGTCCTGGTTTCAGCTCAGGAGTTCATTAAGGCAGCCTCACCTCTCAAGAACTACCTATTTTTTTTTAATTCAGCTTAGTTCGAGCATCCTCAGTTGAACAATACCATATCAGAGACATTATTTACCCTATGTGACTTCTTTATTTCATAACTTTCAGATATTTCTAATACCTTTTATTTTGCTATTACATTCATTTCCAAACAGATTCCCTATTCTTTCCTTCCCTAGCCAGAGATCCAGACCTTGTATCAAAGACTAAAAAAAATACATTTTTGTCCAAGTCACTTTCATAGAAGCTGTGACTGAGTGTTTCAGCATTAGTCCACAACTAAAGTGCTGCCACTCCTACTTAGGAAAGGGTAAAATTTGCGTGCATCCTTCCTCTCATCTCTCCTCCATGACCAAAATCCTTGCTCTTTATCTTTTTTACATGCAGTTTCACTTATTCATTTTTTTCTTGATTTTTTTTGAATCATTATATACATTCTTTTCCTCTCCTGATGAGTATTCCTCCGAATCACTTCATTTCAGTCTTCCCATGCCTCCCTACACCCTTCCAAAATCCTTTCTCATACTGAAGGAATCATGGGTATCATTCACTTACCAGAGTATGTTGAGTCATTCTCCAGTCCATGTCCCTCTCCCTATTCCTTGACATCTTGTTACAGGACCAAAAATAAAGACCCGCCAAAGTTGATGTCCTCCCCTGTCCACTCCAATGTGTAGATAATTCTTAGCCATTTGGAGCTGGCTCTGAGGCAGAGCTGCCCTGGCTGATGTTTGGAGGGTGAGTAGATCAAGTAAGCCTCACCCTTCCTGATACAGCCAGGACCCAGACTCTGACCCATCCAGTCTCCAGGACCTACTTCTGAACATGAAGATAGAACCCCGGATTTTCACTTTACCTCGATGCATGACGCTCTGCTTCTTGACACCAGCCAAGTCACTTAAAGTAAGGACTCTCTGGAGTCCATGTCTTCTGCCTACCTATAGCGGATTCATAACCATTTGGAGCTGGCCGTGGGGCAGAGCTGCCCTGGCTGATGTTTGGAGGGTGAGTAAAATAAGCAAGCCTCACCCCTCTATGACTCAGCAGGCAACAGACTCAAACCCATCCAGTCTCTCAACCCTCCCTCTGACACACAGGCAGGGACTGGGCCATTGTTATCCACTAGCTAACAATCCTGCCTGTTGAATCGAAAACACAGGACCAGGAGCCAAGACCCTCCACTTTCCCTGCCCCCTCCAAAAATCCAAAACAAGATGGACTATTCTACACTGGAACTGGCTCTGGGGAAGAGCTGCCATGGCTGATGTTTGGAGGGTGAGTAAATCAAATAAACCTCACCCTTCCAGATCCAGCCAGGACCCAGACTCTGACCCATCCAAGCTCACATCACTCTCTCTCACCACTTGACTAGAACCTAGAATTTGCCCTTTTTCTACACTGTCCACACCTGCTTATTTCCATTGCTTTATCATTACAATTTTCATCATAGCTTTTGTTTTTATATCACCTTCATTTCCAAATATACTCATCCCTATCATCTTCATAGTAAGCCATCCCTTAGTACTAGAATCAGCAATCAATGAAAAGCAGTTCTGTAAGAATAACACATTCTCTCCACATCTATATGGAAGGAACAGAGATGATTTTTCTCAACTCCTCTCCTGGAGAATCCTTGGTCTCTGCAATAACAATGCAAAACCAAACACTTTTGGGGCAGCTAGATGGCACAGTGGATAGAGCACCGGCCCTGGAATCAGGAGGACCTGAGTTCAAATCCAGCCTCAGACACATAATATTTCCTAGCTGTGTGACTCTGGGCAAGTCACTTAACCCCAATTGCCTCACACATGCACACACACATACAAAAGAAATGCTTGTTAAAAAAAAAACCAAAAAAAAAGAGAGAATGTAGAGTGCTTTGCAAACATGAAAGCACTATGGAAATGCTAGCTATTCTTAAGAAAAGATGCAGAAATGACACTTCAACAAAAACAAACTTCCCATCAACCATATTGGACTGTGTATCCTATATTCTGTACCTATAGGTATTGTCACAACTATTCCTCAGGACCTAGATCCTTAGTCCTTGTCATTACATTCTTTTCACCTTACTTTTTATTGCTTTCCATTGATATTTCTGGAGTCGCTATATACACCCTTGTCCTTTTCTTCTGAGCATGTCTTTGCATCCATTTGTTTCAGTCCTCCCATGCCACCCTTCATCGCTCTAAGCATCCTTTCTCATATTGTAAAAGTCATGCATTTCATTCACGTGCCATAATCTATTGAGACACTCCCCAATCAATGCCCTTCCCAGGTACTCCTTGACACCTGGCCACTGGATTAAAAATAGAGTCCCTCCAGAGTCCATGGCCTCATTCCTTTTGGAGATCATTGATTCCCCATTGGAACTGGCCCTGAGGCAGAGCTGCCCTGGCTGATGTTTGGAGGGTGAGTAAATCAAAAAGCCTCACCCCTCCTGATACAGCCACAACCCAGACTCTGACCCATCCAGTCCTTGGGGCCTACTTCTGAACATCAGGCTAGAACCTAGGATTCTCCTGCTATCCTGCTACTTCAGCTCCTTCTCCTTGATACCAGGCCACTGGACCAAAAGTAGAGACCCTCCAGAGGCTGACTGCTTCCCATGTGTAAAGAATTCATAATCATTTGGAGCTGGCTCTGAGGCAGAGCTGCCTTGGCTGGTGTTTGGAGGGTGAGTAAATCAAGCAAGCCTCACGCCTCCCAATACATCCAGGACCCAGACTCTGACCCATCCAGTTTCCAAGACCTACTTCTGAACATGAAGATAGACCCGGGGAATCTCCCTTTACCTCTCTTCCTCACACCTCCCCCCAACTTCTTGACATCAGGCCACTGGACCAAAAGTAGGGACCCTAGAGTCTATGGTCCCCTCCCATGTGTAATGGATTCAGAACCGTTTGGAGCTGGCCCTGGGGCAGAGCTGCCCTGGCTGATGTTTGGAGGGTGAGTAAAATAAGCAAGCCTCACCCCTCTGTAGCACAGCAGGCAACAGACTCAAACCCATCCAGTCTCTCAACCCTCCCTCTGACACACAGGCAAGGACCAGGCCACTGCTACCCACCCTGCCAACAGACCTGCCTCTTGAATCCAGGACATCAGACCAGGACCAGAGAGACTCCTTCTCCCAACCCAGAATGAGATAGGCTATTTCTCGCTGGAACTGGCTCTGGGGAAGAGCTGACCTGGCTGATGTTTGGAGGGTGAGTAAATCAAGCAAGCCTCACCCTTCCAGAAGCAGCCAGGACCCAGACTCTGACCCATCCAGGCTCTCAACAACCACCTGCCTAGGTCCTAGAACTTGTCGTCTTTTTTTTACACTGTCCACCCCTGCTTCTTTCCATTGCTTCATCTTTACAATTTTCATCATAGCTTTTGTGTTTACATCACCTTCATTTCCAAATATGCCCATCCCCATCATTTCCAAAGTAAGCCATCCACTAGGATAAAGAATTAGAAAAGAAATGGAGTTGAAAAACAATTCAGCAAATAACCAACTAATCCACTGAGTTAACCTGCATGCAATATTATATACTCATGGTACTTCAATATCTACATAGAAAAGATAGAGGTCACTTTTCTCAACTTGTCTTGAGAAACAAGATCCTTTGTTATTACAATGACAATGCACTCACTTTCACCATTGACATTGTGGTAATCACTGAATACATTGTTCTCCTGGTTCTCCTTCCTTCCCTCTGCAGAAGTTCCTAAGAAGCTTCCCATTCCTCCTCCCTAAATCCTTCAAATTCCTCTTGGTATCTGTTGCTGTCATCATATAATCGATTCCTCCAATCAATGTCCCACCCTCATCAGTTTCTTGACAGCCTGCCACTGGATGTGAAGGAGAGCTTTTCCAGAGTCCTTGGCCCCTCTAGGTGTAGGTAATTGATTGACCATGGAAGCTAACCTGGGATAGAGGTGCCTACACTGTAGTTTAGAGGGTGAGTAAATCAATGACAAACCTTAGCCCTCCAAATCCAGCCAGGTCCCAGACTCTGACCCATTCAGTCCCTGGACCCAACTTCTGATATATAGGATATGACCAAGGTCTTTCCATTTACCCTGATGCCTTCTTGACATCAGGACACTGGACTTAAGAGAAAGAGAGAGAGTCTCTCCAGAGTCATACTCCATCTCCCTTGTGGAGATAGCTACATCTTAAATTAACTTGGCCCTGGGTCAAAGCTGCCTTGCCTGAGACTGCAGAGTAACTCATTTAATAACACATCACTCCTCTACAACAAGACAGAGCCTAGACTCTACCCCATGCTGTAATGAGGCCCTCCTTCTGACCACCAACCTAGAACTTGGGACTTTCCATTTACTTCTTGTCATGAACCCTTTAGAACATAAGTAGAAGTCTTATGGAGTCCATAACAACCTCCCTTCCCTTTCTCTCACCCCTCTGAGTTCTGTATTAACTCACCTTTGGAAAGGGTCTAGGGGAAGAGCTGACCTGGCTGATGTTTAGAGGGTGGAAGCCTCTCATCTCTAGACCTAGCCCAGCTCAGACATACTGAACTAGCATTTAGCCTCTATCTTTCTGTAACAGGACTGGAGACCTGCCATTTTTCTGAAGGTCATCCTTGATTCTTTACCATATGGTCTTTTTTTTCCCTCAAATATGGAGATCTTTTGTTTCTATATCACCATCAATGAAACATATGCCCTTCCTAGTCATCCCCTGCCCAGAGAACCATTTCTTATTACAAAGAATGGGAAAATAAATTCAGAAAAGGCACTGCTTCAAAACCAAATGCCACATCATTTGAATTTAAATTTGAATCTGTATGCAATATTCCATACATATAGTCTCACACATTGCAAAGCAAGGAAGCAAGCACATTTTCTCAACTATCCTCTAGGACCTAGATCCTTAGTTATCATCATTATAATACCCTCACTTTCTCTTTTTGCTATTTTTCATTCACTTTTTTTGGAGAAATTGCGTGCCGTTTTTCATTGCTGACCACCTCTCTTCATAACTTTCTGTCAATCTTCCCCTACTTCCCCCCATCATTCCAGGGCAAAATGACTTTACATGACAGTAATCATGGGCTTCATTCATGTACCATAATATGTCGAACCACTCTCCAATTTATGTCCCTGTCCACTACTTAACACCTGGTCATTGGACCAAAACTGGACACCCTCCAGAGTCCATGGCCTCACCCCTTTTGGAGATCACTGATTCCCCATTGGAGCTGGCCCTGAGGCAGAGCTTCCATGGCTGGTGTTTGGAGGGTGAGTAGATCAAGCAAGCCTCATCCCTCCTGATACAGCCAGGACCCAGACTCTGACCCATCCAGTCTCCAGGAGCTACTTCTGAACACGAAGATAGAACCTGGGATTCTCCCTTTACCTCATTTCCTCACCCCCTGCTTCTTGACATCAGGCCACTGGACCAAAAGTAGGGACCCTCTAGAGTCCATGGTAAATTCATAACCATTTGGAGCTGGCCCTGGGGCAGAGCTGCCCTGGCTGATGTTTAGAGGGTGAGTAAAATAAGCAAGCCTCACCCCTCTATGACTCAGCAGGCAACAGACTCAAACCCATCCAGTCTCTCAACCCACCCTCTGACACACAGGCTAGGGCCTGACCATTGTTATCCACCCAGCCAACAGACCTGCTACTTGAATCCAGGACAACGGACCAGGACCAGAGACCCATCACTTTCCCAACCCTCTCTCCTAACCCAGAATGAAATAGGCTACTGCTCGCTGAAACTGGCTCTGGGGAAGAGCTGCCATGGCTGATGTTTGGAGGGTGAGTAAATCAAATAAACCTCACCCTTCCAGATCCAGCCAGGAGCCAGGCTCTGACCCATCCAGGTTCTCATCACTCTCTCTCACCACCTGGCTAGAATTTGCACCTTTCTACAATGCCCACCCATGCTTCTTTCCATGGCTTTATCGTCACAATGTCCTCACAGCTTTTTGTTTTTACATCATCCTCATTTCCAAAGTAAGCCATCCCTTAGTACAAAGAATTAGTAAAGAAATGGAGGAAGGCAGTTCAGTAAAACCAACCAACACATCCACCAAGTCAGCCTGCATGTGCAATATTTCACACTCAGACCATCCACATCTACACTCAAGCTTTAGCCTCTACCTTAGCTCAATATATTAGGATCAGAGACTTGTCATTTTCCTGAAGGTCTCATCTGTCTATTTATATTACATTTTTCACAAATGTGGAAATCTTTTGATTGTATACCACCATCATTGCCACATATATCTTGCCCCATTATCCCCTACCCAGAGGGCCAAACTTTATAACATACAAATGCAGAAAAGTACTTCTGGAAGCCAAACAACATATCAACTGAGTTTGATTATATATGACATATTTTACACCCATAGTCCCTCACCTTTGCAGAGCATGGAAGGTACATTTTTTTCAACTTTTCTTTAGGACCAAGATTCTTGGTCATTATCAATATGCCTTCACTTTCCCTTTTTGTCACTTTCCATTCACATTTTTGCAGTCATCATTAATATTTTTTCCAATTTTTTTCTGACTTTCCTTGGCATCTGGTTCATCTTAGTTTCCCCCTGCCTCCCTCTGTCCTTCTTTGGCATTCTTTCTTACATTACATGAATCATCCTTCATTCATATATCATAGTATATTGAGCCACAGCAATGTGCCTTTTGCCTGCTTCTTGACACTGGACCAAAATTAGAGACACTTTATTTACATGTCCCCTCTGGCTCTCCATGGACACAAGAAATTCCCCATCATATATGGCCTGAAGTAGGATTTCCCTGACTGAAACTGGGAAGGGGAGTTCGTCAAGGAAGTCTCACCTCTCTAGAACTAGCCAAGCTCTGACCCAGCCAGTTTCTAACATCTACATCTGGGCAACAGCATAAGATCAGATACTGATCATTTTGCCTACTTTTGACACATTTTCCTATTATTGACCTTGCTTCTTTATATCGTAATGTTAAAAAAAATTATAATATTTTTTGTTTTGACATCACTTTCTTTTCCAAATACATGACTCTTCATCCCCTTCCTGGAGAGCCACCCTTTATTTGATAGAATGAAACAAGGATTGCATAAAAGGTACTTAATTCAGTATAACTAACCCACACATAAGCTGTTTCTGACCTTTTAGGTAATATTTCACACCCAAAGTCCAGATGCTCTATTCCCAAAAGAAGCAGGTGCATTTTTCTCAATTCCTCTCCTGGATAAAGATCCTTGGTCATCATAATTCTAATACATGCATTTTTTAGTTTTTGTTGCTTTCTGTTGACATTTTTGAAATCGTTTTATATATTTTTTCCTCTCTTCATGACCACCCCTCTTTATCAGTTGATAACAGTCTTCCCATGCCTCTCTCCATCCTTCCTGGGCTTTCTTACATCACAGGAATCATAGGCTTCATTTCGGTGTACCACAGTATGTCAAGGCATCCTCCATTCAACGTCCCCCTCACATACTCTTTGATACTTGGCCACTGGATCAAAAATAGAGCTGCTACAGGGTTCCTGGCCAAGTCACTTTTGGACATCATTGATTTCCCATTGGAGCTGGCCCTGAGGCAGAGCTGCCCTGGCTGATGTTTGGAGGGTGAGTAAATCAAACAAGCCTCACCCCTCCCAATGCAGCCAGGACCTAGACTCTGACCCATCCAGTCTCCAGGGCCTATTTCTGACCATCAGACTAAAACCTGGGACTCTCCCTTTGCTCTGATTCCTCACTTCATGTTTCCTGACACCAAGCCATTGGACCGAAAATGGAGACCCTTCAGAGTCCATAGCCTCTCCCATGTGTAGAAAATTCATAACCATTTGGAGCTGGCCCTGGGGCAGAGCTGTCCTGGCTGATGTTTGGAGGGTGAGTATAATAAGCAAGCCTCACCCCTCTATAGCACAGCAGGCAACAGACTCAAACCCATCCAGTCTCTCAACCCTCCCTCTGACACACAGGCAAGGACCAGGCCACTGCTACCCACCCTGCCAACAGATCTGCCTCTTGAATCCAGGACAACGGACCAGGACCAGAGGCCCCCTCTCCCAACCCAGAATGAGATAGGCTACTCCTCGCTGGAACTGGCTCTGGGGAAGAGCTGACCTGGCTGATGTTTGGAGGGTGAGTAAATCAAGCAAGCCTCACCCTTCCAGAAGCAGCCAGGACCCAGACTCTGACCCATCCAGGCTCATCGCTCTCACTCACCAACTTGCCTTTTTCTACACTACCACACTTGCTTCTATTGCTTTATCTGTACAATTTTCATTATAGCTTTTGTTTTGACACCACCTTGTTTTCCAAATATATTCTTTCCCATCCTCTCCACAGCAAGCCATCCCTTAGTACAAAGAATTAGAAAAGAAATGAAAGAAAGGCAGTTCAGTAAAACCAACCAATATAACCAGCAAGTCAGCCTGCATGTGCAATGCTTCACGCTCACTAACCCCCACATCTACATAGAAAGGACAGAGTTGACTTCTCATCTAGTTTCTAGGAGTTTCTATCTAGTTTCTCATCTAGTTTCTGTCTTTTGTTATTATGATGACAACGTACTCACTTTCACCTTGAGGGGATTTCAATTGACATTATGGCAGTCACTGAGTATACTATTTTGCTGTTTCTCCTTCCTTCCCTCTGCATCAGCTCCTAAGAGTCTTGCCATGCTTGCTCCCTGAATCTTTCCTATTCTTCCCCGATGGTCGCTACCTTCCTACAATCGATTATGGCAGTGCAGTTTGTTAGGCATGCCCCCAACCAATGCCCTGTCCACTCCTTTTTTAAAAATAAATTTCATTTTCACAAAGACCTACATTCTTTCTCCCACTAAGGAAACAAAAAAACCCAAAGTCTCTGTTACAAACATATATAATCAAGCCAAACAAATTCCTGCACTGGCCATGTCCAAAAATTATATCTGAGTCCGTACTCTGAGTCCATCTCCTCTCTATCAGGAAGTGGGTAGCCTGTTTCATCATGAGTCCTCTAGATTTGTGGTTGATCATTGTGTTGATCAGAGTTTCCAAGTCTTTCAGAGTTGATTGTCCATACAACATTGTTGTTGGTGTATAAATTGTACTCCTGGTTCAGCTCACTTTACTTTGCATCAGTTCATACAAGTCTTCCCAGGTTTCTCTGAAACCATCTCCTTCATCATTTCTTACAGCACAATAGTATTCCATCATACTCATATACCATAACTTGTTCAACCATTGCCCATTTGAGTCCCCCCCCCCCCCACTTTCCAATTCTTTGTCACCATAAAAGGAGCTGCTATAAATATTTTTGTACATCTGGATTCTTTTCTTCTTTGTTTTATCTCTTTGAGGCGTAGGCCTTGTAGTAGTATCATTGCTGCCTTTTTTCTTGATGCTTGGCCACTGGACCCAAAATAGAGTCCCTTCAGTGTCCTTGGCACCCGTCTCCCAAATGGAGGTAATTGATTAACCATAGGGTAGAGATGTCCATACTGAAGTTCAGAGGGTGAGTAAATCTATGACAAGCCTCACCCCTCCCAATCCAGCCAGGCCCCAAACTTTGACCTAGCCAGTCCCTCGACCACTAGACTAGGACCTAAGTCTCTCCATTTGCCTGATGCCTCCCCAGCTTTTTGACATCAGGCCACTGGACTTAAGAGAAGGTCCCTCTAAGAGTCCATGTTTCCCTCCCTTGTGGAGATAACTAAATCTCAAAATGACTTGGCTCCTGTTTGAGCTGTGCTTCCTGAGGATTGCAGAGTGACTTATGCAATGATACCTCTATCCCCTACAACTAGACAGACTCCAAACACTGATTCATATGTATCTTGCCCCTATTTCTGATCACCACACTATAACCGAGGACTGACTACTTTCGCTAAGGACTTCCTTCTTGTTACCAGCCCATTGGACCAGAAAGAGAGGCCCGTCAGAGTTCATGGCAACCCCACGATGCCTCACCCCTCTGAGTTATGGATTAATAACACTCCACGGGGGCTAGCCCAGGGGGAAGAGCTGACCTGGTTGATATAGGGAGGGTGAGATAATCACAGAAGCTTCTCGTCTCTCGATTTACATTCATGTACCACATGTGTTTAGACATTCCCCAACTGAAGTATCAATAACCTCTTTGAAATATAAGCCTAGTATTGGAATCTCTGGGTCAAAGGATATAGACATTTTAATGACTTTATTTTCATAATCACAACTTGCATTTCAAAGTAGTTGTACCGATTCACAACTCCACCACCAATATGGTAGTGTGCCTATCTTCCTGTAACACTTCCAACATTGATTATTCCCATCTTTTGTCATCTTTGCTAATTTTCAGGGTGTGAGTTGAAATCTCAAGCTTATTTTGGTTTGCATTTCTATTATTAGTGATTTGGATCATTCTTTGGTATGGTTGTAAATAGTTTGTAATTCTTTTGAGAATTTTTTTACACCCTTTGATGTATTTATTTATTGGTGAATGATGTTTGGTTTTATATATACATATGTCTGTAAATATATGTGTAGATTGTGTATATACATATATGTTAGTTGTTTATATGTCTTGATTAGCAAACACTTATCTGGGAATCAAAAGATTTTTTTATTTAACCATTTCCCTTATCCTAGGTGCAACAGTTTTGTTTGCACAGAAAATTTCCTGTTTCATATAATCAAAGTTATATATTTTATTTTTGTAATTTTCTCTATCCCTTGTTTGGTTAAAAATAATACTCTGACCCATAAGCTATGTAAGATATATCTGCTTTTCTTTTAATTTTTATGGTATGATTTTAATATTAAGACCATATATCCATTTAGAATTTATTTTGTAATATGCTGTAAGGTGTTGGTCTAAACATAATTTCTGCTGCACTGATTTCCAGTTTTCCCAGAACATTTTATCAAATAGGGAGTTATTTCCTAAGTAATTCATGTTTTCTAATTTATTAAACACTGGGTTATTGAGTTCCATTATTTCTAATTCTCCCTTGTTTATTCTGTCATCTACCTCTTTATTTTTTTAACCAATTATCAAACTGTTTTGGTGACTACTGTTTTATAATATATTTTGAGGTTGGGAAGTGTTATCTGCCCCCCCTTCATTCCTATTTTTTTCATTATTTCCCTTGATATTCTAGATTTTTTTAAATTTTCAAATGAATTTTATTATTTTATCTAGTTCTGTAAAATATTCCTTTGGTAGTTTGATTGGTATAGCATTAAAACTGCAATTTAGCTTTGGTAGTACTGTCATTTTTATTATGGGTACACACAGTCACGAGCCCTGAATATTCATCTAACTATTTAAGCTATTCTTTATTTCTTTCAGTAACGCTTTGTAACTGAATCTATTCAAGTATTTTGTGTGGTTTGGTATATTGATACCAACTCTCTATGCATTTTATAGTTATTTGGAATGGTATTTCCATTTCTATATTGTCTTTTGGATTTTGTTGTTATTATATAATAATGCTGTTGACTTTGTGGATTTATTTTGTAGCCTGAAATTTTGAAAAAAGCTTTTAATTGTCTCAATTAGTATTTTGCTGATTCCTAAGGATTTTTTTAAAGTAAACCATCATGTCATCATCAAATATGCATAGTCCCATCTCCTTTTTACTGATCTTTATACTTGTAATTTCTCTCTCTTGTATTAATGCTGCTGCTAGCATTTCCAGAAATTTATCAAATAATAGTGGGGAAAGCAGTCATCCTTACTGCACTGTTCTATTTACTAAAAAAAAGTTCTAGTGTATCCCCATTGCATATGATTTTCCTTTTGTTTTTAGATACTTTTCATGACATAAAAAAAAGTCCTTCTATGCCTATATTTTTAGGTTTCTAGCATAAATAAGTTTTCTACTTTATTAAAGGCTTTCCCCACATCTATTAAGATAATCATGTGGTTTGGTTTGGTTTATAATATGATTAATTATATTTATTATTTTCATAATGTTGAACCATTCTTATATCTATTGTATGAATCCAACTTGGTCATAATGAATGATTTCTTAGATGTATTGTTATAGTCTGTTGGACAGGATTTTATTTAAAGTTTTTGAAATTACATTCATTAATGATTAATAGTTCTTCTGTACTTTGTCCTTCTCTGGTTCACATGCTCCTTAAACTGATTATCATCTGTGGTCTATTTTGCTTATGATCTATAAAGAATATGTTTAATATTTCCAAGTTTTTATATTTATTTGTAATATCTTGTGGTCTCATACATGACCAATTTTTGTAAAAGATCCATGTGCTTCTGAGAGAGATGCATATTCTTTAGCACTCCCATGTAGAAGATGACTTGAGACTTTTAGTTCTAGTTTCTCTGGCAAATTGTTCCATTCTACATTCCCTCCTCTTTAATTTTTCTGTTAGATTTGTCTGAAACAGGAACATATATATGTTTTCTTCCAATTTAGTGTTTTTCCTTTATGAATTTAGATGCTAAGGTATTTGGAGCATATAAATTTAATATTAACATTGATTTGTTGTTTATGGTTTCTTTCAGCACAATTTAGTTCTCTGGTTTACCTCTTTCTATGTTGTGAATTTTTAGCTTTGCTTTGTTTAATAGCATAATTGCAAATCCTGGAAAGCAGGTACATTTTTCTCAGTTCTCCAGGACCAAGATCTTTGGTCACTGTCATTACAATGCATTCACTTTCCCTTTTCAGTGCTTTCCATTCACATTTTTGGAGAAATCATGTATGTTTTTCTAACTTCCCTCTGCATCAGTTCATATCAATTTCCCCATGACTCCATCTGTCTTTCCTGGGCATTCTTTCTTACGTCACAGAAATCATAAGCTTCATTGATGTACTATAGAACCACCTTCCAATGTGCCTCTCCCTGCTTCTCATCACCAGGTGCATGGACCAATACTAGACACCTTCCAAAGTCCATGTTCCCCCAGCCTCCATATGGAGATGATTAATTCCCCCATTGGAAATGACCCTTCAGCAGGTCTGCCCCAACAGAAGCTGGAAAAAAGACTTGATTGAGGAAGCCTCACCTATCTAGAACCAGTCAAATGCATACCTTGCTGCTTTCTAACATCCACATTTGGTCAACAGCATAGCACCAGACACTTGTCATTTTCCCAATAGGTAACTTTGCTCTTTCATATGTTAATTTCAAAATATTTCAAATATCTCTTGTTTTGATATGACCTTCATTGCTAAAAAATATCACTCCCAATTCCCTATATGGAGAATGACAGTTTATATCATAACTTGAAATAAGAAATGCAAAAAAGGCACTTCAGCAAAACTCATTCAGCAAAACCACATGAGTAATATCTGACCATTCACGCAAGATTCCACACACAAAGTCTAACCAGTCTCAGAGCCTCAAAGAAGGAGGTTCATGCTCTCAGCTCCTTTCTAAGACCAGAATTCTTGGTCATTGTAATTACAATGCATGTACTTTCACTTTTTGGAACTTTCCATAGACATTTTTGGAATCATTATGTGTACTGTTTTTCTTTCTAGCTGACCATCCCTCTACATCAGTGATTAGTTTTCCCATGTTTCTCTCCACTCTTCCTGGACATACTACATTATATTGAAGAAATCATGGTACCATAGTATATTAAATATCTCCCTATTTGATGTTCCTGTCCCCTACTTCTTAACACCTGGACATGGGACCAAAATTAGACACCCTCTAGAGTACATCCCTTTTGGAGATCACTGATTCCCCATTGGAGCTGGCCCTGAGGCAGAGCTTCCATGGCTGGTGTTTGGAGGGTGAGTAGATCAAGCAAGCCTCATCCCTCCTGATACAGCCAGGACCCAGACTCTGACCCATCCAGTCTCCAGGAGCTACTTCTGAACACGAAGATAGAACCTGGGATTCTCCCTTTACCTCATTTCCTCACCCCCTGCTTCTTGACATCAGGCCACTGGACCAAAAGTAGGGACCCTCTAGAGTCCATGGTAAATTCATAACCATTTGGAGCTGGCCCTGGGGCAGAGCTGCCCTGGCTGATGTTTAGAGGGTGAGTAAAATAAGCAAGCCTCACCCCTCTATGACTCAGCAGGCAACAGACTCAAACCCATCCAGTCTCTCAACCCACCCTCTGACACACAGGCTAGGGCCTGACCATTGTTATCCACCCAGCCAACAGACCTGCTACTTGAATCCAGGACAACGGACCAGGACCAGAGACCCATCACTTTCCCAACCCTCTCTCCTAACCCAGAATGAAATAGGCTACTGCTCGCTGAAACTGGCTCTGGGGAAGAGCTGCCATGGCTGATGTTTGGAGGGTGAGTAAATCAAATAAACCTCACCCTTCCAGATCCAGCCAGGAGCCAGGCTCTGACCCATCCAGGTTCTCATCACTCTCTCTCACCACCTGGCTAGAATTTGCACCTTTCTACAATGCCCACCCATGCTTCTTTCCATGGCTTTATTGTCACAATGTCCTCACAGCTTTTTGTTTTTACATCATCCTCATTTCCAAAGTAAGCCATCCCTTAGTACAAAGAATTAGTAAAGAAATGGAGGAAGGCAGTTCAGTAAAACCAACCAACACATCCACCAAGTCAGCCTGCATGTGCAATATTTCACACTCGGACCATCCACATCTATATCCCCATCTACATGGAAGGAACAGAGGTGACTTTTCTCATCTCTTCTCTACCGCCAAGATCCTTGGTCATTACAAAGACAATGCAATCACTTTCACTTTGGGGACTTTCCATTGACATTATGGTTGTCACTGGTTCTTCTTTCCCTCTGCATCAGCTCCTAAGAGTTTTCCCATGCCTCTTTCCTGGATCCTCCCTATTCTTCCTGAATTCCATTGTTGCCATCACGCAGTCAATTCTGGTAGCACAATTTGCTGAAACTCAGTAGATGTTCTGCCCTTCTGCTTCTTGACACCTAGCCACCAGACTAAAAGTAGAGCACTTGCAGACTCTTTGGTCCCCCTCCTGTTCCTTCTGCCTGAAGTTAATTAAGTATCAGACATTGCCCTGGGCAAAATTGACGAGGCTGGAATGCATAGGGTGAGTAACCTTGGAAACCTCACCTCTGTAGAATTACCTTGACCTATCTAATCTCTCACCCCCTACAACTTCCCCCTAACTTGTGACTTGAGACTTACCATTAATTCTCTTGCCTCCCTTTTACTTTTTTAAACTCTTCCATTTCCAGATACAGCCTTCCCAGTCCCGTCTGTACCAATTCCTCCTAAAAAGAAAGAATTGGATAAAAGGTAGCTCAGCAATACTAAAATTTCTTATTTCCCTACATCTGCCTGTGTTGCTAGAAGCACTCATTATATAGAACAAATTGTAAGAGGAATTTTCATACTTTTCTTTTTCAACTGCATTCTCACTTCCAGTACCGCCCTGAGTTTCAGAAGCACTATAATATAATCCTTATAAATAACTTAAATATAACCCTTAAATATAGCTAAGATTTATACTGAGATTGGACATAAGTGACCTGCTGACCCCCCATGCCCTTTGAGGTCCCTTTGAATTATCATTCCATTAACAAGTACTTATTAGCAAAAAAGCATGCCCCAATACCTTGAAGCTCCTATAGACATCCCCTACCAAACAGGTCTTTATTTAATAGATGAGACCACTAACTATGTTCAAGTACTAATGAAATATATTAGTCTGTTCACCATCAGGTATCAGAATTTCTTCCCAGATCACTTGACACCTTTTCCTTCCCACAACTTCTAACTGGAAGACTGGGCACATCAGTGAGAAAAGCACCCTTCGATCATACTGGAAGAGTTCATCCCAGATCCTGTTGCCCAACAACATTGCCATCTGCCATCTGACCATCAGACGTGGAGAGCTGTACATCATACTACAAAAGAAACTCACCATCCCCTTGGAACCAAATGCCTCTCTTCTTGTCCTGTGCTGCTGCTCCCATCTGTGACCAAGGATAAAGAACCCCAGGTTGGCTATGCCAGCCTGCCTCCATGCCACCCAGAAATTCCACTCCCAGATTGTCTGCCAGACAAAGGCTCAAGCTGGAATGTGTTTCTCAGATTCCTGGACCACCCTGTCTCACCCTGATTCCCCACCCCTGCCCCTGCACACCCTCATCCAAGTGTTGGATACCCATGACCACTGCCCTTTAGTTTTTCTCCATCTTCCAGGTCCTTCGCCATCTAACTAAAGCTATTTGTCATCCTGAGGCTGATGGCACCATCCAACTGCTCCCCTTAATTCCTGTTCCAAGGACTATTTGTGAGCCCAGTGTGACTACACTACTGTTGTCCCATATAAATATCTCTGTTCTATAGGCCACCCTATGATGCCCTTCCCTGTCATGGCTTGTAGCTACGCATAAAATAAAGCATTTTACTGATGTACCCTAAATTATAAGCAGTGAGTTTTCTTTCTATGACACTACCAGGAGGTTACTTTATAGAACGAGATTAGATAATAATTCATTTTGAGGAACAAAAAGTCTTGAATCTCAAATGAAATAATGAAAAAGTATTTAGTATTACTAGATTTCAAACTAGTATAAAACTATGATCATCAAAACTATTTGGTACTGGTTAAAAAATAGAAAAGTAGATCCATGGAATAGACTAGATAGGCAAGAAAAAATATACAAATAGATGCAGTGTCTGATAAACATAAGAAAGCATGGTGATTGGGGAGGACTCTTTATTGGATAAGAATAGGAATAGATGGATAGGAAATGGATAGGAAAGCTGGAAAGCAGACTGGTAAAAACTAAGTATAAGAATATAATGGAATATTACCGCATCATAAGAAACCACGATCCTGTGAAAAGCAGGGAAACACAAGAGCATTTGAATGAGAGTCTTTTGACTCAGAGACCCTGAAGCATCAAGGTACCCTAAGGGAGAGGCAAGAGGTGGCATGTACTAGGCAAATCTAACCATCTCGGGTGTGAAAATAAATGTTTAATAATTGAAAATATAAAAAAAAGGATACAGAACAAAAAGCTAAACCAGGAAAGTAATATATACAATGGCAACAACATGTATGAAAATAACACTAAAAGACAGTGAAACTCAGGTTAATTACAAACACCAATTTTGTTCCAGAAATCAAAAAATGAAACACTTCCCTTCTCACAATAGATAGATGGCTGTCTACAAGAACAAAAGGCTGCATATCTTAGACACGGCTAGGAATTTATATGAGACGAGAGGGCAGCAAGGTGGCACAGCAGATAAAGCACTGGCCTTGGAATCAGGAATACCTGAATTCAAATCTGGCCTCAGACACTGACTAGCTGTGTGACATTGGGCAAGTCACTTAATCCTGTATGCCTCAGTTCTTCATCTGTAAAATGGGCTAAAAAGGAGATGGCAAACCACTCCAGTACCCTTGCAAAGAAAACCCTAAAAGGGGTCATGAAGAATCAGATACAACTGAAGCAACAACAATAATAAGACAGATCAGAGAATTTAAGAATAGATAAAGGACCAAAGAACTATTCCAGATTAGACAGGTCAAGGAATATATCCAGAGAGTATACAAACCAGTAATCTGTCTCTGAGAGCTAAGTAAAGGAAGGTATTCAGAGAATACATGTAGGAACCAATCATGAATTGGACAGATTATGTCAAGTGTCTTGTGAGTAAGGAGACTTATTCCAAAGTGGAAAGTTAAGAGAATGCATCCAAAGTGTATATAGATGGTCAAGAATCTATTCATAGTAAAAGTCAAGGAATGTGTTTAGTAGGTAGACAGGCATACAGGAAATTCTCCCAAACTAGAAAAAGGTCTCAGAGAACATATTTTATGAGGCACAGTGATTTATCTCAAATTAGACAGATTAGGGAATGTGTCAGTAGACATAAATCCAAGAATATTTCTGGAATTGGACAGGTGAGGAAATGGGTACGAAGAGTAGAAAGAAAGCAATAGATTAGTGCCAAACAGGACATAGAATGTATGTGGAGCACAAACCAAATGGAAAAGGTCAGTAATGTGGCCAGAGACAAGAAAGATGGCCAACTAATTGCCCCCTAAGTGTGCTGGCAGGCCAGAAAGTGGCTCCTGTGAATGTACAACATTGCAAATGATCTATCCTAAATTGTACATGTCCAAAACCAGTCCATTAAGTGGACAGAGGGCCATGGAACTATTGCCAAGAAGGTATCAACCAACAATCTTTCTTAAGTATATATTATGTGCCAGACACTGTACTATGTGCTGAAGATAAAAAGAAAAGCTGAAACCTAAAACAGCCCTGTCCTCAAGGAGCCTATATGTTAATAAAAGAAACAAGACGTAAATAAATAGGTATATACAAGACACGTACAGAGTAGAAAACATTAGAGGAAAAAGGCTCAAGTGGCTTGGGGATAAGTACGTCCTCCTGCCGAAGGGAGATTTTGAACTGAATCTTGAAGGAATCCAGGGATGTCAAGAGGCTGAAGTGAGGAAGGAATATATTCCAATTATGGGGGGCATGAGATAGAGACAACTAGTGCAAAGAATGGAAATGGAGTGAGATGTGCAAGGAACAGCAAGTAGAGAAGGATTGATGAATTATAGAATGCACAGAGGGAAAAGAAGCATGGAAAGATTGGAAAGGAAGGATGGTGCCAGGTTTTAAAGTCTGCAATACCATACAGAGGACTTTATATGTGATCCTAGAGATATTTTGGAGGTAGCGGAGTTTACTGAGTTGGGCTGAAATGTTCAGACCTCTGAGCTTTAGGAAAATCACTTTGGCAGCTGAATGGAGGATAGACTGGAGAGGGGAGAGACTTGAGACCAAGGAGACTACATGACAGGAGACTAAGAAGCTATTGCAGAAGGCCAAGTGAGAGGGCATGAAGGTCTGGACCAGGGTGGTGGCTGTGGGAGTGGAGAGAAAGAAACGTATAGGAGAGATATTGTAAGGGTAAAAATGACAAGACTTAATAAACAGATTTAGAAACGTAGGGTGAGTAAAGAGTCAAGAATGGCATTGCAGTTAGAAGCCTTGGATGACTAAAATGAATGGATTAGAGAGAACAGAGATGAAGGTGGAATCAACCTGCTGGAGAAGATGGGATGGAAAGGAATGAAGGTTACATGTAGAAGTGTTGGCTTTGACAAAGAGAAGGGCCACCTCTTCAAGGGAAACAGTGGTAAAGGAGGACAGAGTGGTAGCAGATGTCAAAGGGGTGTGAAATGAGGGGCAGGAAAGAAGAGGGAACTCTCAGGTGATGGCCTCAGTTTTTTTCAATGAAGTTTGAGGTGAGGTCCTGAGCTGAGATGGTCAGGAAAGGGTACCATGGGAGGGTTAAGGAGAGACAAAATAGGATTGGAACAGCTACTGTAGTAGGTGGAATAGAGAATTAATTAGCAAGAAATAGAAGGATTTCCTTTCTGCAGGGTGCAGTTGAAATTATGTAATATAAATTTGTAATGGATCCAGTTAGCATAATTTCATGATTTTTTCCACCTCCATTCAGTTGCACATGAATATGAAGGAAGGAGGAAGATTATAGGAATATTCTAAGGTTGAAGACTGTTAAGGTGAGGGATAGCATTGAAGCATGGAGGACTTGGAGGTCCTGATGAGGAAGAACAACAGAGTTAGGAATGGAATTGAGTAGATTGAAGAACTGCAAAGTTAGAGTACTTAAGAAAACATCAATAGGTATGTTGAAGTCCCCTACTAAGAGGGAGGGGGTTGGAGTGGAAATAAAGACAGTGATCTAGGCATTAAATTTATTGAGAAAGGAAGGGGAAATGATCTGGGGGTTGGTAAACATCCACCAGGATCTGGATTGGATGATAAATATGGATAATTCAGCTTCAGTGGAGGAGAGGTGGCTGAATAATAGTGAAAAGTTTGAAAGTGTTAATGGGGAACAAGTTTTATTCCAGCTCCTCCCCCCCCCCCCCCCCGCAATGAATCAGTGAGGGGTGGGGGGGGCAGTGTATGAAAGAAAATACAACATAGCCAGTGCTGAAAAGGGTAACAGGAAAGCATTATCATCAGGAGGGAGCCAGGTCTCAGAAAGTACCAGAAGATGGCAGAAGTGAGTAAGGAAAAGATTTTGAGGGGAAAAAAAAATATTAAGAAATAATATGAAGACAATGTCCTGGGCTACTACCTGTACTCACTTGACCTAATTAGCCTCAAATGGAGGTTTAATATATGCCATGGAAGAATCTTGAATCCCTGAGACTAGAATTACTAGAATTTGTCTCATTTCTGTAGAAAAAACCAATAGCAGGAAGGTCTTATCCATAAAGTCATGACTTTGTACAATCCCTGAACAAACTGAAAGGGGATTCCTTAGTTAGAGTGGTTTATAATAAAGTAATAGGTTTGAGGAAGATATCTGAGGGTTCAAGAGAATTATTTTGTTCTGTTTAAGTAAATCCAAAACTTTAAACTTACAAAAACAAACAAACCTGTAACAAGAATTAGGAGAACGAGATCGAGGTAGATGGGAATAGATGAAGGGACAACTGAGGTTGAAGAAAAGTATTGTTCTACAACTGAGATTTCAGTATCAGTCAGTTAACAAGTATTTATTAAATACTTACTATGTATAAGTCACTGTTTCAAATAGAGAGGATACAAAGAAAACCATAAACATAGTCCCTTCCCTCAAGGAACTCATACTCCAATGAGGGAGACAACATGTAAATAACCATGTATATACAGGATTTGTACAATGTAAATGGGAATTAATCTCAAAGGAAAGGCACTAGTAGTGGAGAGGGGGAAGGAGGTGGATGGAAAAGACCTACAGAAGGTAGGATTTGAGCTAAGTCTTTAAGAAAGTCAAGAGGCAGAAGTGAGAATGGAGAATTTCTTTATAGCAATAACAAAATCAAAAAGGAAATAATAGAAAGGAAAATCCCATTAAAATAACCATATAATACATCAACTATATGAATCAATTTAGCAGGATACAAACAATATTCCACCACAGAGTTATTTAAAGAAATAAAGAGTTAGTTATTTTATTGGAAGTATACTCATTGTTTGTGGCTGGGCTGTGCCAATATAATAAAAGTGATGATACTATCTAAATTAATTTATAGTCAGTGCTATACCAATCAAACTACCCAGGGATTACTTTCTAGAGCTATATAAAGTAATAAAATTTATTAGGAAGAAAAATGGTCTGGAAATCCCAAAGGAAGTTTTAAAAGTAGAAATGAAGAGGGAATAGCCATTTTGGACCTCATATTATAAATTTGTATAAATTAAATTATATTATAAATTTCTGATAGATATCTAATACCCATGATGTCAATGCAAATATGTAGGAATAAGAGTCATTCCCAACTAAATAAGTAGTCAAAACATATAAATAGGAAGTTCTCAAGGGAAGAAATTAAAACTATAAGCAACAATATTAGAAACTATTCCTGATCACTTT